CATGCATCTTTTGTACTTTTGTAGGCTAAGAGACACTCTTCACCTTCACCTTAACTTTCATTTGATTCATAGTAAGAATCATCTCTTCCTACAAATTTAAGACTTTTCTTAAATCTATTTGGAAGCTAAATCTTTATTATAGTTTTCCCTTAAGCTTCCCGAGATGCCGATGACATGAATATAAATTATTTTACTTTTTGGTATGTTAAATGAGATGGCTTATATGTACGAACACTTAAATTATAAAATTGAAGCAAAAAATTAATACATTTACAATTATCAAATTTAAATGAGGTAAAATGTTTCTTTGGAAAATTGTTCTTGAATTTTTGCACTTATCAAACTTTTTGATAATACTTTTTTAATAAAAATCACTTTTTTATTTTTTTTTGCACTTGTCAAATAGAAAGCGCCTTTGGTTTTGAAAACCGTTAACCGGCCATTTTTTTTCTCCAAAAGTAAGCAAAAAGAATGTGAAGAATATGGGGAGAATGTGCACAGAGTTGCTTGTAATTCGCATTCGTCATGATCTCTGACAAAAAGATTTATCCTAAAATGCAATATAATAAAAGATCTTTAGGAAGCAATAAAATACGCAAGGTGGATAAAAACTTTCATGTCCATGCATTTAATAATAATTGTATTTAATAAAAAAATTGATAATTTCGCAGATTAGTAAATTTAAAAATTTTGAAAATGTTTAATTTTTAAAAGAAAACTATATAAATCAGTCAATCATATTTGGCATAATGCATGTAAATTAATAATTTTTCAATGCCTTTTTTTTTTTATTTCAAAAATTTATTTGATTACTCTAAAATCTCAAGTGCAGTAGAGTTTTTAATAAAAGCCGATAGCCTTAGATGCTAATGCTTTAACACTTTGGTCTTAGAATTTATTCTCTGGCTAAATTTATAATAATAATAATAATTATTATTATTATAGTAATAATAATAATGATAATAATATAATAATAATAATGATAATAATATAATATAATAATAATATAATAATAATAGTACGAATTTTTCATTGTTTTTTACTACTTTGATTTGCATCTCTTGTAATAGTTGATCTTGACGATAAGCAACGGCAACAACAATATATATAGGAGAAGAAGAAGACTAGCGTCATTTCAAATATGTCGTCAGAAAAGAGTAAGTAGAAGAATATAATTTATTATTTTTATAATTTAATAATAAAATTCTTGTTTTCGCGATAGGTATAAAGGGAAGTGGAAAGCCATCTTCGGCCACCATACAAGAAAAGAGTAAGTAGAAGAATATAATTTTTAATTTTTATAATTTAATAATAAAATTCTTGTTTTCCAATAGATAAAAATAAAGCCAGGATGGAGAACAACGAAAATCGGCAACAATCGCCAATTCTGTTAAAGAAGTATTGGAAGTTTAAGGAAGAGTTGGAAGCAATTTTAGAACTGAAATGTTCAGGCACGTTGTCTGCTTCAATTTTTCATTGGATTCACGTGATTGAGACTTCTTTCATAGATGCCGACCAATTTTTCCTTTCATATCTTCTAATTGCTTGAGATTCTCTGCATGATTGGATTTCCCTTTATTAAGTAATTCAATTTGTTTATGAACGCGATCTATCTTTTTTTCATTCGTATTTCCATTTTCTTCCGTGACGAACTCCATTTTCTCAACGAAAATTTTTTGTTGTTTACTTTCACGATCTTCCGTTTTTCGTTTTTACAAGCATTTAAAGCCGTACATGAGATTGTGGAAAATTAACTTGTATGCCGTTTAGCTTATTTTGCAAGTCTTGTATAATTTCCACTCTGGTTGCGTCCTCTTTATAGAACTCAGAAACTTGTTGTTCAGCAACTTAAATTGAATTGCTCATTATTGATTTCCAAATCCCGTAATTTAAGATTTGAAACTTTCTTCTTCTGTTTCTGCTTCTGTTTCTTTTGGTAAAGATATGTTTTGCTCGTCAGTCAAATTCTGATTTTAATTTTATATAATCTTGAGCGGTTTTTTAATTATTGTTCTTGCCGAAGTATTGATAAACTGATTCTTTAGGTTTTCCCTTATTATGTTATTTTTTCGCTATGTAAACTCGCCTTTAAATTCTTAATTTCTGTAAACTAGAACGGAAGCGCGAGATATGATAATGTAAAATTAAATAAGTTTAGTTCGCGTATTTTCCAAAACACTATATATATATCTAGAGGTGATGATAGAAAGCGACCAAGTCAAGGAAAAAGAATCGGAAACAATCAGGAAACCATTAAAAAGAATAACAATTTCTTTTATATATATATATATATATATATATATATATATATATATATTTTTATATGTACTAACAAAGTATTTTAAATGTATAATAACGATATTATATAAATAAAGCAATTTATATTTAAATATAAATTATATAAATTAATATATAGCAACAGGAAAGGCCAGTTTGGTTTTGGTTAGACGATGGGTTACATAAAGTAGTATTTATTTCTTTGAACTTGTACGAGTACGACTTAAGCCCGAGAGCCGCCCCCTCTTTGGTCTATTTACGCCTGGTGTACTTGTTTTAACAGCATTATTAACGAACTCCCTTAATTCTGGTGTCGTAGTCTCGGTTTGTCGCGAGTTTCTATTCGGTGTCTCACAAAGTTGGGGGGGTGGCCTATAGTTAAATTTCGGATTTAAGGAAAGCACATACTTTTTACGACACAGAATTGACCAGCTGCTGTCAATTTGCTGGTGCTGGGAGATTCGTTGATTTTTTCTTCTTTGCCTTTTTCGCACATCGCTTGAAAGCCTGTTTTGTTGGCTATTTGCGCACTGCTGTTTATAGTTTTTCCAAACTTGGACTCCATATTTTTAATCGACATCCGAGCTTTTATGTCTTTTACTTCATTTTCATAATTCCTTTCTTGCAAATTGTCTTGAAATTCTCTTAGAATATTTTGTACGGATATTTGGCTTTTTTTCGATATGGAGATTTTTTTACCATTCGCTGTTTGGAAACCAGCAGAAACAAGCGAACTTTCGGGATTATTCACCTTGCCCACTTCATCTCGATTCACTTTACTTTGCACTTCTTCCGATTTGTTTTCAATAAAAATTTCATTCAGGCCAACTGCATTTTTATTTACTCCCAACTCCGGCCGTTCTCCTAGTCCTAATGCAACTTTAGTTTCGCTGAGCTCCAAGTTCTTAGAGCACCCACTAATATTGTATCTTTGGTTACCTTTAAAGCCAATCAAAATAATAATAAAATAATAAGCATAATGAAATATGAGGAATATCATATCCCGGGCTATCTGCTCATTTGCTGAGAACTTCGACATATGAGGAAAATTATTGACCTTCACGTCTTAATGTAGGATTTCCTGAGTGCTTATGGAAGCAAAAATGTCATCATCATCGTCATCCCACTCGCAATTTTTCCTTATCTCAGTTTTACACGGGTTAGATGGTACTAGAACTAAAAAATTTTGGATTCATTTCAATATTGTCTCATCGCGGATTTTAAAAACAACTTACTTTCATTTACGTTGTACGTGTCCTCTTTCTCGGTATAATCACGGTCTGAAGCTTTTCCTAAAATGAATGTACAAAGTTTTTAAAAAAAGCCTATAAAGAGCTACTTACTTTCTGGCGTGTAATCGTATAAAAGAGTCAATTTTGCCTTTTCTCTAATTTCGCGGCTGTAGTTTTTCCTTGGTTTTTCCCGTAAAATATATAAAGGGGACCGTTTTCCTTAACTTACTCTCGGGTGATACTACAGGACTATTAAAAGGCGATGTAGAAAAGTCCTCAAATATTATATCTACTATTGTCTTCTTTTTGTTGTCATCTCCTCCTTCTGGAGAGTCCTCAAATACTACATCTACAATTGTTTCTGTTTCTTCTGGAGCCTCTATATTTTTTACTTCTTTCATTGTATCTTCGATTAACTTTTCATCAGAGATATGAAATTCATATCCACTTGTCGATAACTCAGACTGTGACAACAATTCATGACAAGATGTAAATTTTTGCGAGCTTCGCGCATAAGGCCGGGAATCCATTAAGGAAATTATTTCATCTTCGTATCGACCCAAACTTTTTTTTAAAGCGACTGAGTGACTTCCTTCACCTTTTTTATTGACTTTATTTGATTCCATTTTTAAATTTAAAAAGAAAATTGTTTTTTTTCTTTGACTCTTTGTATGTTTGACAATTGAAAAGATTTTAAAAAAATTGTTTTTTTTTTGACTCTTTGTATACACTTTTTGCAATTCTTCGTCTTGCTCACACAATTTAGGGTTGCCAAACATTGCTAATGCGTTTGATAATCGTTAATATTAAAATTGAAATTGATAAAACTGTGTATCTACATCTAGATGTGAATGCATCAAATATTGCAATCGTAATTTTGGAGCAGATGATTTTTAATGATTTATTTCTTTTATTTTACAAGTTAGCTTAGAATTAAACCGTCATAATTTTTAAACAACGCCCTCGCTAAATTCCCTGTTGAAAGGCAAGGCACAGACTCGCTTATAATAAATAAATGGTTAAAAGCCCAACTTAACAACTTAAACGTTAACGCCAATCAGCTATGTTAAACGCGCACCTTAACAGACCAGAACATTAGGATTAACATTATCTAACGGACCAAATTATCTAACGGACCAAATTAACAAAAGCCGTCGGCAAAACACACGCAACTTAAAATCAATTTATGGAAAACTTAAATATTGATTTGTCGGATTTGTAGGATTTATTTTTCAAAACGCGACAAATCTTCTGTTAAATAAATGAAATAAAATTACGTTCTCGTTGTTATTATTTATATCAATTTTTGTTCTGAAGCAAAGTGTTCTGTAGGTAAAGTTGTTTGGTGTGTGTAAAAATAATAGCTGATGTTGATAAAATGTTGCCGCATTTTTATCGATAAATTGTCTTATTGTTCAAAGTTGTAAGAAAAATATCTCAGATGTTACTAATTATTTTTTAGTACATTGAATAAAAATACCGAGTGGATTCTCTATATGAACTATGTTCTAAATGAGTATAGTAATAAGTGCAGTGCAAAGAGATAGTTCGAGTATTTAGTTGCTGGCTCTACATGACGGCTTAGAAAAGATTTGTGCTGAAAACGGAAGAACTTCCATACTTTAGTATACGATATCATACAAATTGGTTTAAAAATTCTTACGCATAAATAAAAGAAAAAAACATGTCCAGCTTAATATCAATAACTACGCGACGTTTGCCGCACAATGTACTCTTTTTGGGAATGCAAGCAGCCCGCAGCCAAGAAGTAAGCTTGGGACAGCAATATCCTTCATCATTTGTTCTTTCGGCAAACCACACATTTTATTTCGGAATTAATGTAAAGATAACTAAACAAAATTCATTAGAACTTCACAAAATTATTTGATTATGTAATGTGGGAAAGAAAAATTTTGAAGAAACTCTTGTGTTTTGTGATTATTGAAGAATTGCTTAACAATATTTTGATTCAAAAAGTAATGCGTCTTGCAAAGCGCTTATTTTTATTGAATTCATATAAAAATTGGCTGTTTTAAAGTGTGATGAATATCTCAACCCATGGATTCTGGCATGTGTTGTGCAATCATTGAAACGTTAAACAAATCAGTTTTCTTATATCCTCTTTTAGGTTAAAACCGCCTCCCTAGTACGCAAATGTTCCAGGTTAGTGTCGGCATCAGCAAGTATATTGAGGCCAGTTGGTGAGTTAGTCACCTTAAAAGGCGCCAGGCAAGTTTTTTTCTTACGTGTAGTTGACGATGATTTTTATTTTTCATTTTTTAGGCCCTTTGCTCACCGTGGTACGCAATATATACATACTTCAGCTGATCTGTGGAGCAAGCAAACTGTTAATGTTCCACCTTTTCCTGAATCTGTTTCGGAAGGTGATATTAAGTAAGTGATTAATGCATTGAAAGGCAAGAAAGCAATCATAGTTTCTAAAGTTTTCGAGATTTAAAGTCATTATAGATTACATTGGTTAAAAATAAAATTGTGTTTTACTTTTGTTTAAAGGTTCACCACTAAAGTTGGAGATCAAGTGAGTGTCGATCAGGTGGTTATGGAAGTTGAAACTGATAAAACCGCTGTGCCCGTGCCAGCTCCGTTCAATGGCGTCATACGCGAAATTTTAGTTAAAGATGGTGACTCAGTGAAGTCTGGCCAGGCCTTGTTTGTGATAGAACAAACGGCGGGCGGTGCTGCACCTGTTCCAAAGCCTGCTGCAACGCCTGCAGCAAAGCCTGCAGCGGGGGCTGCTGTTTCTCCCCCTAAATCTGCCGCTGCAAAATCACCTGCTGCGGCTCCTCCTCAACCTACCGCTGCTCCTCCTCCACCTAGGCCTGCTGCCAGTGCTCCTCCACCATCACCTCCCAAACCGGTTACACCAGTTGCTGCTATACCTAGATCTCAGGCGGCTCAGGTGAAAATACCGCCAGCTGATTATTCGCGTGAGATTACTGGCACCCGAACAGAGCAACGTGTTAAAATGAATCGTATGCGCCAAAAGATAGCGGCACGTCTCAAAGAAGCTCAGAATGTGAATGCCATGTTAACAACATTCAATGAAATCGATATGAGGTATAGCGTCTTTTTTCACAGTGAAGGGGGTTTTTATTTAATGTATACTTGTATTAAAATTTTTCAGTGCTGCCATGGATTTCCGTAAAAGTAATTTAGAGGCTTTTACAAAGAAATATGGTATTAAAATTGGTTTTATGTCAATCTTTACAAAAGCATCAGCTTATGCATTACAAGATCAACCGGTTGTTAATGCGGTTATTGAAGGAAATGTAAGTCAACCTCAAGTAATATAAAGTTCTCATCAAATAAATCTAACTTAACAAGTAAGAAAATTATATCCGGCTGAGACCGAATTTCTTATACCTATCACGGTTATCCTATTTTTTTAGAATAATTTCTTGGCAACTTACATTGTATTCTGTCATAATTTATGAGCAACGCGAAAACGAAAAAGAAATCAAAACTTTTCAGTGTTTGTTACATAGACTTGCGGGCATTGTAGACGTGTTCTTTGGAAAGTTTGGTTCATTTTCAAATTCTTTTGAAGGTTTATGGGCGATGTTTTGCAAACGGGAGATTATTTACGACAGGTACGGTACTATGCTCAGACGCATTCCAAATTTGAAATTGGCTAATTGGTACTGTAGGCGTGACGTGCCAATATCAACCTCCCTGCAAAAATTTCCAATGGCTAGCCAAGCTTAAACTCGCTATTCATTTTGTGATCAGTACAGTATTTACAACAGACATTTCACAGGCGTACAGATGCACTTGCGTGAATGGATTCAGTAATTGATGCTGACCAAGAATATACCTACTTTGTGGGGCCTCTGAATCTTTCTTCTGGGCGATGCAAATGTCTTGACAAAAAGAATATAGTCCACATCCTAGATAATGATACTGCTGTTTTGTTCTGCACGAGAGTATATAAAAATGACAAGATATTTTTTGGAATTTTTCATTCTTTTCTACTTCGTTTAAAAAATCAATGAAGGGCTTTCACTACTCTCAAGTTTTCAGAAAACCCATTTTATATTGTCGGCTTAACTAATGGTATGAACTTTCTGCAACATCAAGAAAAACGTTCAATATCTGAAAGATATATTTTCTTTGACACTTCGATTTTTTCCCAAGACATGAAAGACACGACCTATGTTAAATAAACCTCCGTTGGGAAGGTACCGCATAAAGTACTATTAAACCCCTTAACGAAGCATGAGGGATGTATTCATTTCGTTAAAGCATTTGCAACGTACATTGCATTGAAAATTCTTGCAGGACGGTTGGTATTGAAAATGGGCAAAATCGGTCAAAGGATACGCCTACAGTACTACATAAAGTAAGGATACCTGCTTTCCAAAAAGAGTAAAAAATTTGCGTTTTACTCATTACTCATAAATTCTAGCAGGTAAATATACAAACAAGAAGACTTTTGACACGTTATAAGGTATTAATATTTTTTTCCAATGCCTTTATAAGGCGAAAGAAGAGAAATAACCTTCAAAACCCCATAAAGCATATAAATTCTTCGCCAGTTTCAAATTCGGAATGCACCTAACCATGTGCGTCCGTTCATCTGTCCATCTGTCCTGCGCAACCGTGTAGCTTCTCTAAACATTTTCCCGCTCGCAAAAATGAGGATATCGCCTGCAAACTTGCAAGAGAAGGACCTACATTTTACAACACGCCTCCATAACGACAACTGTGGAGTCTTTTGGTTTCATGTTTTTTGCTTGTTCCTTGCAAAGGACGACATATAAACTAGATAAATTTCCACTTTTATTCTGAAAATAGTAAAAATCAACCGTGGCCCCGAATGTTATGTAGAATGAAAACTTAGTTCTTCTTCTTTCTTTTACGATTACAGTGATGGGTATAAAAGATTCGGTCGCGACCGAATATAATTTTCTTACTTACTTTTTAATCTCTAATCTCTAACTTTTCTAGTGCAATGACAAATGTCATTAGAACATTGTGTCTATTTTTTAATAAAAATACGTTAGGGTATCTCTATGGAAACGAGTGTAAATTTACATGAGGCTGAGAGTGATTCGAAAGGTGTCAACGCCTCTACCAAGAAATTTGTAGTTTGTGACAAAGATTTTGATGCTAATTAAAGTTTTGAGTTGAGAGTATAATCTTAAATCAAAATTCAATCATTAGAAACAAGTCGTGTTTTCCTTAAATCTTAAAGTTTTTTGCGACAGAGTGCAAGACATCTTTTGTGTATATTAAATAAAATCGACAAGATATCAGCGTCGGTAACATTTTCAAAATTTTTTATAATTTAATTTAATTATCTTTTATAGGAGATCGTTTATCGTGATTATGTCGATATTTCGGTAGCGGTGGCAACCCCTAAAGGTCTAGTGGTGCCGGTTGTTCGTAATGTTGAAGGTATGAACTATGCTGATATTGAGATCGCCATGGCCGCTTTGGGTGAGAAAGCTCGAAAAGGCGCTATAACTGTTGAGGATATGGATGGCGGTACGTTTACAATTAGTAACGGAGGCGTATTTGGTTCGCTAATGGGTACACCTATTATTAATCCACCGCAAAGCGCGATATTAGGTATGCATGGCATCTTTGAAAGGCCCATTGCCGTCAAGGGACAGGTATAAATCTATTTACTTTTGTGAAATATAATCTAAACGCCTTTATATTTAGGTTGTCATACGTCCTATGATGTACGTCGCTCTTACTTACGATCATCGGTTAATTGATGGCCGTGAGGCCGTTATGTTTTTGCGCAAAATTAAGGCTGCTGTGGAAGATCCTAAAATTATGTTGGCTGGTCTGTAAAGTGCGATTCATTCAGTAGAATGAATCGCACTTTCGCTTTCACTAAGAAAGGCAACCTATTTTTAAATCATATTAAAATTTGATAACAATAAATTTAGAAAAAGATTCTCTTTTTAATATGAGATAAAAACAAAATAAATATGAGATAAATGCAGACGGACAGTGCAAGAAAGATTATATTCCTGGAAACAAATTTCTTAGTTCAAAACAACAACCAAACATGAAAATATTTAAAAAAGAATAAATAAATAGCAAAAGCTTATAAATAATTACATTTGAACAAGATTAAGAAAAAAATGAGTAAATATTTTTGCCACACAAAGAATGTTTATTACAATTACTACCGAATCAACGAAAAGATATTACTAAACTAATAGGCCTATCTTTCGGCGACCGGCTTAAAATGTTTCCACACTCGGCTTAATACACATTTGCTTTCATGAGATATATAATAATTTTTAGATACGCTGAAAGCGTAGATCGCAGTGTGCTACGAAACATAAACGTACATATAGCACCGCTGCCATTAATAATAATATGTATATAATGTGTTTAATCGTTGCACAAGAGTCTCGTTGGATTCGGAATTGGCATCATCCGCATCAGAGTCATGTTATGCACAATTCTGCTCGCCGAAATTTTAGCTCTCGATCAGAATTTCCCAGTTGCTGAAAATTTTTGGAGGATCGGTAATAGACGCAAATATTAAACTACTTTAAATTAAACTGGACAAATAACCTAACAGCCATGAGACAGGCATCACTTACCTACGCCTATGCCAGCTTCGCATGGCAATTGGATAACGTAAATAGATTCTCGGAGATCACGGCGAATCGACACCAAATTTGAAAGCCGTGGTCGTATGGGTCAGGTTTAATCTAGCCTTTAAATATATGTTCTACCTCGTACAATCGAGTCTTTGAGTTTTATTGCGGTATTGAACAATGGTCTTTGCAATCTTTTCGTTGTCTTCCTTTCGACTCTACTCTGTAAATGCAGACACGTATGTTGCAACCTCTATCTACTGAGTATTCTCACGTCAACGTAAAAAGGTGTTTGAATTTATGAATGCCGCTACTCCAAAGAGCAATAAAGTTAGAAAGCTCTCTGCAACGGTTTTTTAGCTAGAAACCATTTTGCAAGCGCTTGCGAAACGTTGAGAAACAAAAATTTTTTAATAAGAGAAGCGATTGCGTCAAAATATTAATAAAAAAGAACAACATTCAACAACATTTAAACAAATTTTTAGCGTTTGGAGAGTTGCCCACTCTTTAAAGGAGTTATGTTACTAAGCTTCTGAATGGCATATGTGATAACGAGTACTTAAAATGTACTTAAATTTTTCACGGCAACTGTCTAGGCATTTTCAAATATTTCATATAAACCACGGTAACAACGATCAGGCCGTAAGAGTGCGGAAGCAATATAACAGATCCTACAACTTGCTTGCTTTTGATGTTTGTGCTTCTACCATTAAATCGAGAATTATTAAACAGTTGAAGTTTGGAATATAGTCACGAAGCGGCGGCATGGAGTAAAGAAAATGTAGGCTCCGATCATTAGTTGTTTCTTGTAAAAGAGTAGATATGTCGAGATTAAATTGCGTGTAAAGCTGTTTTCACTGCCAAAGAAATTCACTGTTGTGTTTAAAAACTATCCTTTGGAGATGTATCAAGCGATACGAACGTACATAAAAGTGTATAAAGCAGAGTATTTTGAAAAGTGATGCAGCAATTTTAAATGGCAGAGCAACTGTTTTTCATTATTAATACCTGACGTATTTGGAATCTTATCTATTATAATGATCTGATATGATAATTGACTTTTTCCAAAATAGCATGTATTCACATTTCCCTTTCAAGTTGCTAGATTTACGATGGACGACGATATTCTTCTTATTGTATTATTCTTATATACTCTTACTTGTTTTTTTTCTTTTAGAATTTTGCAAGATCTTTTATAATGTTTGCAGTTCTTTCTTTATATGTAAAGCAAATTTTTTTCATATATTTTGTATGTGTACAAAAAATTTGTCGTTATAGATGTTTATAGGCTTTCGGCTTTAAATTCATTTTCTTAAACTTCAAAATTAATTTAGGTTTAATTACTTAACTCTTTTAAATTGCTACAATTATACAAAAACCGTATCATACTATAATAGTCGTGGGAAGTTTTAAGACAAGTACACATTTTTGCTTAACTCGGGATTAAATTAGTCCCATTCATTTATATAATGTATAACTACTTGTAGGTGATGGACATGATAGGCCGTTAAAAGTGTATCGCATTGGTAATGTAAAAATTTGAGGTTAGAATTGCCAGAAGATTGGTATGCCACCACCATGATTAATTCTTTTTATAACGACGTATCGATTAGCCCGCTTGAATCTTTCTTAAAAATAATTTCTAAGAAACAAATTCAATCACCAGCAAAGAATACATGTTTAATACGTTTGGGCTTCTATTCCATCATTTCGGCTGGCTGTGTGCATAAACGTAAGTAAAACACATAAAAATTATTTTGTATACATAATAAAAATGAACTTGAAGCTTAAAACCTATATATATTTTCAAATATTGTACTGTAAAAAATTAGGACTAATAATCCAGGCAACGTTTTATGAATCGGAAGTGCTACTTAATATGATTGAATAAATGAGTTTGACTTCCTAAGCATTCCATATTTCTTAAACTATTTACAACATGTGTAACTAAGGCAACTGCTACGTTTTTTGAAATATATTACATTGTATTTATTTTTTCTTCATGAAATTTGACAGTTTTGTAGGTTTCACCAAAAGGATGTAGACATGAGTAGATTATTCTTCCATTTCTGCAGAAATAAACCTGGCAGGCTTAGACTCGTCTGTTGTTGTAGCACTCACGACTGCATAAAAAGAAGGAGAAAGAAAGGAAATTAGGTGAAAGAATTAAATATGCCATATATGTTTCTAGGCATCGTAAGCAAAAGACTGCAACTGTAAAATATACTATTATTGGTATGGTGATATAAATATATACGTGAGTCTGTGGGCTGTATTGGGTTCAAATATTTTCCAGCTAACTGAATGGGACCAACTGACATTTTCATAATCAATAAAACGCTTCGAAATCTTCATATGCTGACGTGACGTAGTGGATATCAAAGATTTCCCTGAAGACGTATATTATCTTTCATATGCGTCTTTTATTTACTTATAACACTTTTTTGTCCGTGCTCTGCTTCTTTTCTTTTTTTTTTGGTTTAACTTATCTTATGCGCTTATACTCACAGCGGTATTTAACAATTATATTGCAGCATGTATATATATATACGTGTGTGTTTGTGTATTTACGTATCTTTACATTCAATTATAATATTATAAATAACAAAATATAATGTTAGATTTTTTTTTTCTTACATTTTAATAATTTTTAATGATTTGCTAAAGAATTACTGCACTTAAATATAATGTTAAAGTTAATCACCTAATATTTCTTTATTAACCGCTTTTCTTTTTTATGATGTGCTTGCTGCGAACGAACGCAGTATTGGTTGAATCATCCGATTTACGACTTATCGCAAGTCGTCTATTATAAAATGGAAAAAAAGGATACTAAAAATGCCATTACCAATAAAATCGATTCTTCGCATAGGCGTGTTTCCAGTTGATGATTATATTTTTCCTTAAAGAATTTAATTTATTAGATTACAGAAGCACGAAAATTGTGCTAACGTTGGATATCTTTAAAAGTATGTACAGAAACCGAGCCAGATTCAAATTGTTTCAAAAGGGCATCCGCAAGGACGAAAAACTTTGAATCTTCCCGAATAATAATATGTAATATTTGCCACATTATTCCATCTGTATCTGCATCTGTATGTTCTTGAACGGGAGCTCCGTTATTTAGCGTCTCACAAAAAGATCACTTAGGCATATCTCAGTACCGAGTTTGCTTTTTTATGAAGTTAGTTTAATGCTACGGAAATCTCCAAACATTATTTCTGTTAGTTAATTCTGGTATTGATTAAATTAACCGAAAGCAGCCGTATCAGTTAAGCTTAAGTATAAGGATTTGGCATAATGATGTATGTATTATTAAAGGAGAAGCAAATGAGTACCGCCGATCAGAGCTAACGAGAATTATACCATTATCTTAGTTTGTTGAATAGGCAACATTCGTGACTTTTGTGAATTTTTTAAAATTTTAAATAATATATCTTACCTCCATTATCCTCTTTCTTTTTAAGTTGGTTTTTATAAACTTTTCACTTGTGCGCCTTCGTTTGGTAAACAATTTAAAAATGTATTTTATGTCATGATACCGATGTTGCAAAGAAATCTTGTAGACGTTGTACGGTATTGCGATCCAATTTGCAAAGACCCAAATCAAGTGTTTTTGTCGTTATCTCGTAACAACCGATGTAACATAGTGGTTTTTATATACGGCCTAGCTCACGCCGTACCGCATGTTAACAATAGAAAGAAACAAAGAAAAACACAAAGTATGCAATATGGCACAATTTAATAGATCTATAGCTTTTCATCTTACTACTCGTCAATAGTATGTCAGTCGATGTTTTCTCTTGTCTGACGTTCGTTGGTCCAGTCTTAGTCCCTACTCGTCCCTCACGTACGCTCCCCTCCCATGCCCCGCCTCCGCAGTGGAGCCTTTTATTTACAGAAGCATGATTTTGCTGTAATACACATATTATAAGCTACAACAATACCTCTTAATCCTCTTGTCACCTGTAACGCCCTTGAGTCTGCGACCGCCTGATGACTCTCGCTTATCTCCTTTCAATGATGGCTGCATTCACCCGTCAAAGCATAGAATGACCTTGTTCACCGTTCGTTCATTTAAACCACTCATTTAACTTTGTTGGCAGGTTAATAAAATTTATTTCAGTTTCTATTTCTTATTATGCCGATCGCTTTGTTTTTTTCTTTCTCTCTTTTTTTGTTTTACAATACAAATGAATTATATATAATAAGCGTTAATTCACATTCTATGACGTATCGACTGTATTCTTTTTCACAACCAAACAAAACGAGTCATTTTTTTTTCACTTATGCGCTTAACAATTGTTTCCTGTTTTTTTTTCTTTTTCACCTTCACGCACCCTTGTCTAGTTCGGTGCTTTTCTTTCTTTTCTTTCTCTCTACTATTCCATATATCATAAAATAACAATTCACAGTTTTTGTGACGATCCTATAACCTTCAAATGAACTTGCTTCGATTTTGTTCCGTTTAAGTTTTTCCTGTTACCGTTTAAGTGAGCAAATCATTCCAGTTTCTATGACATTTTTTTTTCTTTTTTTTTCACGGAATCTTTTCAACTTCATCGAGAACCTTCTGCTTGTGCTTTCGTAAATGTACTTAAATATTTACAATTTTTTCTCATTTCTTAGCTTTTGCCTACATTTCTACTTATTTTTCTGTTTTTATTAAATTTTAATGCAAATATTCATAATTTTTTTCTCATTTCTTAGCTTTTATCTACATTTTGCTGACTATTCGTTTTCATTAGATTTTAATGTAAAAAAAATTTTATATGAAACACTTTTTAACTACTTGTGCCGAATATCGGCATAGAGGGAGAAAATATTTTTGGCGTGGTACACTCCCAGCCTTCGCCCTGTTTCGCTACCGAGTGCATACAAGGAACTCCCTATCGTCTTGGTGACTATGCATCGAATATTACTTGATGCTAGCTTCGCATTGTGCCCTTCCGCAATGTTGCTTAGCCTGAAAATTTTCCTGTACACCACTTGCCTTACTTTGAATTGAATCGGCCTACTTCGGGTGTTGTAAGTTCGTCGGTTTCTTTCGTACGCCTGTGTCAATTTCTTAGTAATGATGTCTTTCACGAGCTCTGATTTTTCGGGTATGAACCTGATATTGGCACCATTGCCCCGGACTTTCTCTGGCTTTCGAGCTTCCTTATACGAGTGGTCATGTTGCATCATATTTAACCCAACTAGCTCATAAAAGGGTGTCATATCTATGGCACTATGTACTGCACTCCGCAACGAAAAGACGACGTCGTTAGGATGGGTGTCCCACGTCTTTTAATTCTCCGCGATGTATGATCGTATTATTTGTAGTATGAATCTGTTGACTCCTTCAGGTGCGTTGGCTTGCGGCGTGTAGAATGCTCTCTTGATGTGTTGAACGTCATACTTCCCCAGGAACTCCTGGAACGCCATTGAAATGAATTGTTTGCCATTGTCGGAGCGTAATATTTCCGGTACTCCAAATATCCAAACGTCTTGCTCCAAGTGCCTGATAACTCCCTTGGCACTGGCTGTCCTCATCGGTTTGAGTAGCACGAACTTGGAGAAGTGGTCCAAATAGACGAATATACAGGTGCCGCCGTCTTTGGTTCTCGGATACGGACTCATAAAATCAATGTATATGCGCTGAAACGGCCTTTCGGTGATTTGCTGCTTACCCATCGGTGGTGTTTGGGTTCTACCAGTTTTGCTGCAACAGCACTCCTCACGGCTCCTAACCAGGGCCTTCACCTCTGCTGCCATCCCCGGCCAGTAATACTTTTCTCTTAACCGCTGTAAGGTCTTGTGTATTCCTCCGTGCCCTGATGATGGTGATGTATGAGCTGCCGATACTAAATGTGGTTGAAGTTCTTTCGGCACGCTGATCTCTACAATCTCGTTCAGATCCATCCGTGAAAGAGTGTCTGGGACAATGTTTTGAGTACCCTTACGGTGTTCAATCGTGAAGTCTAGCGCCTGTAGTTTAAGGCTCCATCTCGGCAATCTACCAGACAGCTCCTTGTGAGACATAAGCCATTTCAGACTGACGTGATCGGTGATCTCTGTGAAAGGAAGCCCCTCAATGTATGGCCGAAACTTTCGAACGCATAGTTTTGCCGCCAGGCATTCTAGCTCTGTGACCGTGTAGATCTTTTGCGTTTTGTTCAATTTCGCCGACATGTAAGCAATGGGCCTTTCATTCTCGTCGCTGTCTCTTTGGAATAAGACTGCCCCACGCCATCTCTTGACGCTTCGCGTTGCACATACAAGTGCTTCCTGGAGTCTGGTGTAACTAGGACTGGTGCGGTAACGAGACGTTTTTTAACTGATCGAACACTTCCAGGGCTTTCTCTGACAGTGCGAAATTCTTCACTCGCTCTTTTGTGAGACAATCATGCAGTGGTCCTGCGATTGTCTCGTAGTTAAAGATGAAACGGAGATACCAACTAGTCAAGCGGATGAACCTTCGGAGCTGCTTCGGAATTTTAGGCACAGCACAATCGGTCATGGTCTCTACCTTGGCGGGATCTATTCTTACTTGTCCGTTTCCCACTATAAATCCGAGGTACTTTATTTCCACAGGGAAATAAAGAAATAAACCTGCTTTTATTGATGTTAATGGTAATTGAAATCAGGTGAGCAGATCATCAGATCGCCCAGATACACAAACACATTTAATCGGAGGCACTCCGGTATACCCTTATCCATCAGCCAGCACATGCGCTGCGCTGCGTTGCACAAGCTGAATGGCATTACAGTGAACTGATACAGCGGCCTCCCTGGCACCGTAAATGCTGTTCTCTCTCGCGATTTCTTCTCAAGCGGAATCTGCCAAAATGCATCCTTGAGATCGATTGCCGAGATGTAGTGAATGTGTTGCAATCGGCTGAGTAACCCTTCAATATGCGGTAGCGGATATGCGTCTTTGACATTTCGTTCGTTCACCCTTCGCGCATCTAAGCATAAGCGGTTTTGCTCGCCCTTTCGTACTAAAGTCATTGGGTAGCTCCAGCTACTGTTGCTCTCTTCTATTACCCCCATCGCCAGCATTCAATCCAGGTCATGATAAACCTACCAATGTATTGCCGGTGATATTAGGTAATGTTTCTGCTTCACAGGCGGGTTGTCTTCAGTAACGGTGATCACATGCTGTTCCAAGTGCGTCTTGCCTAGTCCAAACTAGTCAAAAATGGAAAGGTTGCGATAACTTTATCGAGGAAGCTTTGTTACATCTCAGTCAATTGGTGCGGTGAATTCAGGCACTTTCGGGATTACCGTGTTGTTGGCTTACCGACTCCACAGTCTGGCTCTTACTTGAGGCTTTAGTGGTGATGGCTCCCCTGGTGCCAACGGATAGGCCAAGAACCTCCCAGAGGCCTATGCTAAAGTAAAACTGCTGCCGTAGATCTGGAACTATGAAGAATTCATCGTTTTTGGTCTCCCCTTCCCACTCGACCGGTGTCTTATTCCAGTTTGCTGTTCGAATGTGGTGATTTCGAAGATTTGCGATCTTGTGTCTACGACTTTTAAGGAATTCTGTCGCCCCTGCACCACAACAATTGACGCTGGCTCCTGCGTCCAACAGAACGGTTACTTCGGTGTTGTCAACTCTAGTGCGCGCGAACATCCTGTTATCGTGCTCCAGGGTAACCATCGCTGAGACTTTCTTTCGTTTAAAATTCTTATAGGCCTTTCTCCTCTGTCGAAGCATAAGGATTTTGCTATATTTTCTTGTGAGGTCTCGTCTTTTTCGAATTTCCGCACTGAATATTTCACGGCGTTTCTGCTGGTAGTCTGCGATTCTCTGTGACAAGCTTTTGCATGTGGTGACTTTCCTGACCGATTTCATTTATGTGCATTGGTCTGGCTCTGTTTGCGACGGTCTGTCAGTCAATCTTTTAGTCTGTCTGCCTGTCTGCAAGTCAGTCAGTCACTCAGTCTGTTTGTCTGTCTGGAAGTCAGTCAGTCTGTCCGTCGATCTGTCAGTCAGTCTGTCAGTCAATCAGTCAGTGCGTCGGTCTGTCAGTCAATCTTTTAGTCTGTCTGCCTGTCTGCAAGTCAGTCAGTCACTCAGTCTGCAAGTCAGCCTGTCGGTCTGCCAGTCTGTCTGTCAGTCAGTCTGTCGGTCTGTCAGTCAGTCAGTCAGTCAGTCTACCTGCCTATCTGTCTGTTTGTTTTGCCAGAAACGTAACAGATAACATCTACGTAAATCAAACAAATCAACTCTTTAATTTTTTGTTGAAAATGTAAGCGGTAACATCGTCCTAAATCGAATATATGGAACTCCTGTTTTTCGACAAAATCAAAAGGTGTAACATGCCCGAAATCGAAAAAAATTATATTGTTGTTTTTCGCCAAAGACGTTGTAACGGGTTTTTTGGGCGGAATATAACTCAGCCACTCCAAGTTTCGTTGCAAGAAAATTTAGAATAAAAATAATCCGGACCTTCGGGGGGAATGGTGTACAAACTCGTTTATTTATTATTTCCTTTTTACTGGAGAGAAGTACAGCGATGTGGAGAAGCTGGCTATGGCAAGGAACCAGCGAGGTGATCCGACTTCTGGTGTGGTTTGCACGTGGTGAGAGATTAACTTCTTATCTTATTATATATTTTTTTCTTTTGGATTATCGCGAAGCGCTACAGAGAAACAGAAACGTTGCCAGTGTCATAG